CTAACCAACCAGCACCTAAAACAGTATAGACCAACCTGCACAATCACCAACTAACGCCAAGAGAGAAACCTAAGCTTCCAATCTTGTCAAGCAGTAATAAAGCATCCAAGGGCCTAACAACAGGGACCACACAGGGAGACAGCAGCCTCATCCCCATCCATGGGTGGATGTACGCCCCCTACACACACACACACACACACACACACACACAATGGCAGAGGAGACCTACCCTAATAGAGACTCTGAATGTCCATTACACCTCAAGAAGGTAAGAAGTAATCCACACTGGGATCAGTGATGTTACCAAGGGAAACCTATTTTATTCCATATCTACCCAACCAGCAGTAAGAAAGTGCTCTCCTCTACCCCTTGGGTACCAAAAGAAGTCAGCCAATTGAAAATAAGGAACCAGTATTACATTCCTTTCAATAACAAAAATATCTAATTAAGACAGGTAGCAAATAAATAAATAAATAAATAAATATACGCTCTACATAATCCTAAGGTGAAAAGATAAAGTCACAAAGTATAAAACATAGTGAACTTGTTGCTCTTCCAGATGACCCAGGGTTCGGTTCCCAGCCTCTACATGGCAGCTCATAAGCATTCTAACTCCAGTTCCAAAGGATCTGGCATCCTCTTCTGAATTTAAGGGTATGTGATACACTTACATATGTGCCAGCAAAATCAACATATAATATATATTTAAACTATTACACACACATACACTCAACTGAATAAAAATGAAAATACATTATGAAAATGAAATAGCATTATTCAATAGTTTGGCAAGCGGATGGAAAATAGCTTTAGGGCATTTATTAATTCAACTTCTGAGCTTTATTTTAGTTTAATACAAATTTTATAATGCAAAATACTTGTAAAAGCAGTGTGTCTTTTATTGATTTGAAACAAATTTTATTCACTATTATGTCCAATAGAACATATTTTAATCCGGAAAAATAAAAAAATGAAAATAGACTTCCAACTCTGTGGGACACAGATAAAGCACTTTATGAGAAAGGAGATGTTGCAATTTATATCTTAATTGTCCCCATAAGCATCACACTTTCTAGCTATTTGTTTAGGGGAAGGGTACATGCCTTAGTGTGTAGAGATCAGGGGACAATTTACGGGCGTCAGTTCTCTTCTCCATATGTGTTCCAAGGAAAGGACTAAACTAAGGTTGGGCTTGGTGGAGAATGCCTCCATCATCTGAGTCATCTCATCAGTCTCCAAGTATCACATTTTAGAGGCTTGGTCCCCAGAGGTTCTAACAACTGAGAGGTACTGAGAGGTTCAATAAACTTAAGTGGTGTTCAGGACACAAGGAAACTATGGAACCCTCTCTTCCCTGCCTTTCCAGCCCCTCTTCCCTCTGTCCTCCTCCTTCTACCCATTCCCAGACTTCACAGCAATGAGGTGAACAGCTCTGCTCTGCCACACACCCTCCCATGTTGTGCTGCTTTAATTAAAATGATGAGCCCAAGAGGTCATGCATCAAAACGAACCCTTCCTACTTATAAGCTATTAGTTTCACTATTTGTTACAGTAGCAGAAACTGGAACCTAGAGAAGAGTGACTTTACACTTACTCATATCTCACTGTGGACAGGCTTTAGAATTGCTCTACAGATACTTAGAGGAGTCTCCATTGCTGTGCAATTCACAAGTTAGAAAAGCCATGGGACCGTCCTACATTAAGAGCTTCCATTTATCTATTTATTTGCTTGGAATTTTCTTTTTTTGAGACAAGATCTTACTACAGCCCAGGCTAACCTCAAATTCATGGCAATCTTCCTCTTAGTGCTGAGATTACAGTTATGTGCTTCCATGCCCAGATCATAGGAAGACAATCAGGCTAGATAAAGCTTCAAGTCATATAAGCCATGTTTAACACCAGAATACTGACAGGGAAGCCTATACTGTGGAGGTTTCGGGTGACAAGTGAGAGTATGGTTGGGATCTAGATGGCAGGCAACTCTTGTTATACACAGCAAGAATCAGATACATTTTGTTCATGGTCTGATCTTTTTAAGTGTCCAAGTCTAAAGGTGATGAGGCAGTTTATGTGTAGAAATTTCAAAGCAGCTACGTACTTGGGCACTGCATGCATAATACTAGACGCTTTAAGCCAAATGCACATGAGGCTCTGATGCAAAGATGTTGGGGCCCATAAAATGGCTTCGCTTCATCTTAAGTCAGAGAGTTCAAAACTATCCTTACTTTTCCAAGGTTAAAGTCATAAGACCTAAAGGTCTAAGGTGAGCTACTATAGGATGTTTGGTTTTAGGCATGAATGTTTTATCTAAATAAGACATGGCTACCAAATGTTTCGAGAATTAAGGAAGAAAGTCTTTCTTTTCCCCCTTTTTAGTTGGGGTATATAAGATGTTGAAGAATAAACAGCACATTCAGTATTCACTGGATTGTCCTTCTAATTCTGTTCTATGTCTGTTTTTTCCTTAGTGTCTTTAGCTGTTGTTTCTCAATTCATACTTCCCCTCTCAGGTACAAACCAGGCAAGTCAGCTGAAGCCCCACAAAGTCAGCTTATTACACAGAGAACTGAGGAAATGTGTGGTACACACAGAATCCCTACAAGCAATCCACAAAATAGCAGCTAAGGCTTTGAGGGATGGAAACCTGAGGAAAATGGTGACAGCAATGTAGGATGCCTATTAAAGAAAGCTGCAGGCAGTGTACAGCCAGACCAAGGGTGGCCAAGTGGACTATAAAAACAGCTGTAAGCTTGCAGTACTCTAGCCTTGGAAGCCCACATCCTAGTATGTGTCCTAAATACTAGACATGGAGGTTTAAGATTCAATGTTTACCACACTGGCTTCCAGTCTTGCTTTGTCCAATTCTTTCTTCCCATTCCTCTATTCCTCTTTTGGTGCAGAGATATTTGCTTTGTGCCTCTTATACCATTGTATCAGAGAAGCTGTAACTTTATTTTTGTTTTTTTATAAGGTTCACAATGAAGTTACAAAAGAAAGCTTTGTATTTAGACCTTTGAGCAATGCTAAACAGTTAAATCTAGGGGATCCTCTTAGATTTAACTAAATATTTTTAACAGTGTGAGATAAACATAAAGTTTTGGGACCAAAGGAAGAATGCATTTTGCATCTCAAATGTAGCAAAACTCCATCCAAGATCTCCAGCTTGGTGCTGCTGAGAAGTGGTAGAAACCTTTAGTTTTGTAGGCAGGCGTATTCCTAAGAGAGATCTTTATGCCTGCCCTCCAGAAGGCTTATAGAATCCTGGTCTCCTCCAATCCTCTTTCAGTTCCTAATCATGAGATAAGCAATTTTGCTCTTTTGGAAATCTTTGAATTAAGTGTGAAATATTCTCAATAGTTAGTCAATCCTACAGATATCAAAATGATAAGAGAATGCTGGAACTCACTACACATACACACTTGACAGGCAGAATGAGCCAGCAGTAAATTTCCTCTAAAAGAAATTATCACAACTCATCTAATTTGAAAATATTGACTAACTATTGAGAATATTAACAAGCTTATGATGAAATCCACATAGATAAAGCATGTGATAAAAAATTCAATAGCCACTCCTGATTTAAAAATAAAATTTTTTCGTAATAGCATGGCTCTTACACCCACAAATTCAGCACACAACTTGCACAAGACTAGAAATGGGAGACGTGCATACGGAGAGACAAATGGACAGAAGATTCATAAGTCACAATACATTATGGTGAACATATGCTTGCATAAATTGTTCCAACTTCAGAGGGCATACAATTCTAGGTAAACCTTAACCTGAACTATAGATCTGGTGGGTGTGTCTTAGCTACTTTTCTCATTGCTGTGACCAGATACCCGACAAGAAACAAGAGAGGAAGGATGCGTCATGAAGGATCATGGCAGGTGTTCTACCTTCATTCCTGTTGCCATGATAAAAATGGCCTGATGAAAAGACATCTGATGGGAGAAAGTGCTCCCTTGGCTTATATTACCAGAGGACAGAGGTAGGAGCTTGAGACAATTGGTTGTATCAAATCTACAGTAAAGAGCAGAGAAATGGATGTACCCACACTGCCCGATTGCTTGGCTGTGCTTACACTCAGCTAACTTCCTTACTCTTGTACAATTAAGGCCCAGCCAAGGGAATGGTATCACCCACAACAGGCTAGATTTTCCTACAGAAACTGACAAATTAATCCCTCACAAACATACCCATAGACCAACCTGATAAAAACAATTAGCTCAACTGAAACTCTCTTTGCAGGCGATCTAGCTGCCCTGAAAATGGCCTCGAAGGTCTGCCCTCTCAGAGGTGTGGCCCCTATGTAATTCAAACATCCTCTCAAACTGACAGTCAGTTACCAGCATGTGGGTGTGATGCATTCAAATGAGAAGGGTCCCATAGGTTTGCATGTTTGAATACTTGGTCCATACTTGCTAGAAATGTCTGGAAAGGACTATAGAGGAGGAGAGTCACTGAGAGGAGGCTGGAGGTTTCAGAAGATTCTCACCCTTCCCAATGCACTTCCTGCCTCCTGTTTAAGGCTCGAGTTGTGAGCTATCAGCCACTGTTCTAGCAGATCACCACCTTTGCTCCTTCTTCACAGACGCTAACCCTCTGGAACTGCAAGCCGAAAATCAACTTTCTCTTAGAAGTTGCCCTGGTCATGGAATCTTATCATAGCAGTAGAAAGTAACTAATACAGCAGTAAGAGGCAATATAGGTTCATCAATAATAATGAATGCACTACTCTGGTTGAACAGCAATCAGAGAGAAGGGACAGGGAGTATATGGGAAATCACTTTCATCTTCAATCAGTTTTACAGCTGCTCTGAAAATACACACAGATAAAAATAAAAATCTTATATTCATGCAGGGGGAAATGCAATATAAACAGAATTTGTTATTTTATATGTAGTAATACTGAATACTACCAACAACACAAATACGACCTTACAATCTTTAGAATCATCTCTTGATAACTTTTCTTACCTTACTCTACATTAGCTTACCTTCCACACTGTCAGAACAGGAAGTGCCAATGCCAGTGTCTCCACTGTCAGAAGTTATACTGTGTCTCCTGATATGGTTATTTCGATGGCTAGATGGAACAGTTGTGGCCTGCCACAATGATTCATTACCAGGTAACCATGCTGATGAATAATCTGAGCCTAGAGAGGGAAAAAATACAAAATTAACGCATGTGAAATATCTGGGAGAAGGCAAAAGATGTTTTAACCTTATAAAAATACACATAGTATTTACGAGATTATTTTTTGTTCAAAGTAAAAACCAACAAGATCAAAACTCATCAGATAAACTCTGTATCACAGGGATGGCTACTGAGTGCTGATTCTGCACCTTCTGACCATAGGACTGTTTTCTGCTTCTAGTCACTGAACTTTTAAAGATGGACTGCTGTTTAAAATCATAATCTGCCTGGACATGATAGTACATGCCTTTAATCCCAGTACTCAAAAGGCAGAGGCAGATTTTACAGATTTCTTTGAGTTCGAAGCTAGTTTAATCTACATAGTGAATTCCAGGACAACCAGAAATACCTAGTGAGACCACATCTCAAAAAAGTAAAATATAAAAATAAACAAATCCTATCTAGCTATATGCTAATGCACAACTGTAATCCCAGCATGCAGGAAGTGCAGACATAGAGAGATTAAGAGCTCAAGGACAGCTTCAAGCACAATGAGGAAGAGGCTTACCTAGACTACTGAGATAGACTCCTGAAAAAACAAATAAACAACCCAGAAAGCTAAATCAATCATCAAATGTCAACAGTCTGCCCTAGCATATTTCAGTCAGACACCTCTGATTACACAAGGTACTGAATAATCTCATCATGAAAGATTAAAAGAAAAAAGCTTCTACTGTGCCCCAGTCATTGTAAATATAATTTTTCAAGAGAATTTTTGTTTAATTATATTTTGGTAAACTGTTTACTAAAACTCCATTTAAAAGTTTCGAATAGAGCCCAGCAGTGGTGGAACATGCCTTTATACCCAGCACTCAGGAGGCAGAGGCAGGCAGGTCTCTGTGAGTTCAAGGCCAGCCTGGTCTACAGAGTGAGTTCTAGGACAGCAAGAGCTGCTACACAGAGAAACCCTGTCTCGAAAAAAACAAAAGTTTCAAATAAAAAATATCACACACAAAATTTAACCCAACCAAAATCCATACATTCCAATGAGCATCTATACAGTTAGAACAGCCACACTGAAATGTGGAACTTCACACTGGATTTTACACTCTCACTGCTGGATATATTTGCATGTACTTATCCACTCCCCAAAACAAAAAAAAAATATTCATGACAGAGTCAGAATAAGGAAACAATTAGTTTTTGCTAAAATTTCAACAGCACAATAAAACAGTCTCAAAAATTCAACTGATTCATAATAAATGATTCAGCCTGTTCATTCATTCCCCTATTTGTAAGAAAGGCTTGCTCATTCTAGAATACATAACAGCAAGCCAAGATGTTTATAATATAGTAATTCCTAAAAGTCTTACTAAGGGGATTGTTTTGTTTTGTTTTGTTTTGAGGATTAGAAAGACACACAAGTCTTTCAGATTTCTTTTTCCACAGTAAAACAATCACATTTTAACTATATGGTACATAAACCTTAAACGATGTAAAATATGGGTCATGGTTAATTTTGTATGTGAACTTGACTTGTCACATATAAGCCATGAGACGGAAGACTGATGGAAGCAGAGGCAGACACCCACAGCTAAATACTGAACTGAACTCCTGGGATCCAGTGACAGTGTCTGATGAGCAAAGGGGTCAAGACTGGGCTGTTGAAACCCACAGACAGCTGACCTGAACAAGGGGGAGCTCTTGAAATCCAGACTAATGACTGGGAGGCCAGCATGGGAGTGATCCAGACCCCCTGAATGTGGGTGTCAGTGAGGAGGCCAAGGCAATCTATGGGGCCTTGGGTAGTAGATCAGTATGTATCCCTGGCGTACAAATGAACTTTGGGTACCCATCCCACAATGAGATATGCTCTCTCAGCCTGGACTCTTGGGGGAGGGCCCATGCCCTTCCCTGAATGAAATGACAGACTCTGGAGATCCCCCATAGAGAGAGGGCCTCACCCTCCCTGGGGATCAGAGTGGGGATTGGGTGGGGGCTGGGAGCCTGGTGGGGTAGGCGGAGGAGGAGGAGAGGGAGAGGGAGCTGGGATTGACATGTGAAGCAAGCTTGTTTCTAATTTAAATTTAAAAAAAGAATAAAAAAAATAAGCAGTAATAAACAATAACAAATGTGAAAAGAAAAAAACTTCAACACTCCTCAAAACTTAAAAAATAGATAAAAGAGAAATATAAAGCTAAGAAATACACAGATGGATAAAAAACTATTGCAAAAAAAAAAATCCAAGCTCGTTGATAAATAATTAATGTGAAATCAAAAGGCAACCTAGCCAAGATACTCCTAAAGATTGTGTTAATGTCTGCACTACAAATAGAAAGGAAGGAAAAGGGGAAAAAGTAAAGCCAGGCAGACAGATCTCTGTGAGTTCAAGGCCAGGCAGATCTACATACTAAGTTCAAGGACAGTAAAGGCAACACAGAGAGACCCTATCAAAAAAATAAATAAATAAATAAATTTAAAAAACTTGAAATGGGCTAGCAATCTGAGGTGGAAGATTGGAAGACAAGTTAGTAAGTTCCAGGTCAGCCTGCAGGTATATATGGAAACCATATACAAAAAAAAAAAAAAAAAGAAAGTGTAAATCTAAAATCTGCAAAAGTGAGCTTCTAGACAGAAGACAGTTCCTTAAAAACTATTTCCAATGAAAGAAAAGGCGAAAGGAACAGAACTTTGACTACTAAAATAATGTTCCTGTGGGGGACCAGATGGCTTAGCAAGGAAAGGTGCTTGCCAGTGTTCCTGACCCGAGTGTGGTCCCCAGGAATCCAGAACCCACATGGTGGAAGAAGCAGCTCCCATAAGTTGTCATCTGACTTCCACACATGCACTGATTTGTGTGTACTCACACACATACACACATGCACATAAACAGGGGAAATAAATGTAAAATACAATGTAACTAAGGATCTAAAATGCTTACATTGTCAATTTAAACAGGATGAATTTCACAGGAAGGAAATTCACAACCTCAGGTTTCAGCATGTCTAGGAATTCTCTGAACTCAGAACCCACAAATCACAGTACCCAATCTCTGTACCTATTCCCTTAGGCAGGAAACCTGGCTGTGCAAAGCCACCGTCCCAGTCCTTACTTCAGTCAGATTATAGAATGAAATAAAGACAACTCAGGGGGACTGGAAAGAAACTCATCCAAACATTGCTGCAATCTTCTCCAGATGTCAAGACTGCTCACTGCTCTGACTGCCATGCTTTTATTTTATTTTGAATTACTACAGTTTAACTTAGATTAGAAAAATGTCTTATTTCTTTAAAATGCTTACCAGTAATAAGACTAATAACTTATTAAATGCCATTTAACTAAAGTCTTAGGATATTCTCTCCTAGAATGGGAATGAAATGTCGGCCTCTTCTGAAATAAATGGGTTATATCCTAACATAAATCAAACTACTGAAATTCAAGTGTTTAGAAATACAACATGCTGGTTTCCAGACACGGCATCATCATTGCATTCATAAACTCACAGATGCTATAGTTAGCTGCATAAGACCAATCAATAATTCTAGCATGGGGGTGGGGTCATGAGGCTCTACCACTAGCTGAGAGCTGAGCAGCTAATGGCAGTTGATGGCTGCTGAGAGGTGAGAAGACATTTTTCTTTGGTATGTGGCCACCGGTAGGTTGCCCATGTGCAGGCAGGCAGCAGTAACTGGACTCACTGGGTTATAAAAAAGAAGGAAGATGACATGAAGGTGGGAGAAGCATCTGTTAGCGGAGTACTGGAGACAAGTGGGAGGAAGAACTGGAAGTGGATATGATCAATACATTTTATATATTATTAGATTGTTTACAATACAGAGTTGTACATGAATACACACAAAATAACCTGGAAACAATGGAAAACATGAGGCACTGAGAAGATGCCTTGCTCAGCAAAGTACTTGCTCCATAGCATGTGGGCCTGAATTTAGTCCCAGCACCCACACAACAGTCGGACACAACCCCCACCTGTGAGCCCAGTCGCGGGGAGACAGAGACTAGTGGGGCGCTGAGCCTTTCTGATTCCTCTATCATAAAGACAGAAACACTGCTTTATGGATATAAAAATCCTAATGACCCACACATTGGAATAGAAGACCTTATGTTTTGTTTTTCAATACTAAGTTCACCTCCTGGGAAAAACAGTATTTCTCATACTGGAAATACAAGAAGCTGGGCATCAGAAGAGTCACCTACTGTATTTTATTTTCCGCAGCGTGTCTGAAGCACAAATGTGTTAGCATCAAGTTTTCCATAAAGAATAACCATACCTATAACTATACTTAGGATAACAATGAGTTTCCTTAACTAATGACAACACTAAGCCATAGAAAACAAACACAGCTCATGATAAAGCAAATATACAAGTTTTTATTTAAATCTGGATGTGCAGCATAAATCATAAATACAAATTACAATCGTTTGGGGGCAGGGGGTACCTCACTAGCCCAGGCTTGCCTGGAACTCTCTATGCAGCTGAGAATGGCCTTGAGCTCTTTGAATTCTTACCCCTCCTGCTTCCACCTCCTCCACAGTATTTTTCAAAATGTAGGCCGCTAGCCATTAATGGATCTTAAATTCAATTTAGACACCAATATTCTTAATCAAAATAGAACAAAATGGAAAATATCAAAGTGCACTAATTCTTATACCTCAAAAGCATAAATATCTTACATTTTAACAACTCAGAATTATTAAAAAAAATAGTACTTTGCCACATAGTTCAGGTTAGCCTTCATCTCCCTCAACTATCCTGTTGATGTGAGAGAAATCAATGTACAGAATAGGTTCAGGAATACGCCCCCAGAATAATCCATACAGCCAACCAACCTGAAACGCTTCATGGTCTTTCTGAATAGTAACTGCAGTACTCCTAACATGTCCACTGCTGTCACAGATCACACTTTGTAGCTGGAGAGCTGTAATCAGCACCAGGAAGCTCTGCTCCTGATAGAGTAACTGCCAAATCATCCACCACCCATCCATCAAAATTAACTTCTG